ACGAAAGAAGAAACGATGAGGAGAAGTAGGAGGAAGAAGAAGAGGAGGAGGAGGAGAAGGAGGAGAGCGACCTGGACCCAGGCGGAGGAGGAGGAGGAGGAAGAGGAGGAGGAGGAGGAAGAGGAGGAGGAGGAGGAGGAGGAGGAGGGCGACCTGGACTCAGGCATCCACCGCGATGGAGAACTCCTGGCCGAGGTGTTTCGTCGTTCCTCGCGGCCTCCGGGGGCCCTGGCTGGGCGCCGGATCCGTCCAACATCCACCCAGGAGGGGACAAAACACACAGACACAATGAATCGTCGATCCCTAAGAAAATATGGAAAAATATGGGAAGTGGGGGGAAGACAAAAACCAGGAAAACATGGGAAAAGATGGGGCATCATTTTTATATGTGTGTATTTATCTGTGTGTCCTTGAGCCCCTGGAATCCACCCAGGACAAGAAAAAGAGTCCAGCCCTCCTGCACGGGACCCCGCATGGAAAAAATCAGGACGTCGGAGGTCTGGATGGAGAGTTCCAGAGATTTGGCACTTGAGCCTGAAGGTGTTTCTTGCATTGTTCTTCCCCCTCCCTGGTTAATTCAAGCTTCGCGCGGCCCGCTTAGCTTCGACCGGAAGAGGTGCGCTCTCGACCTGCGAATCAAAAAAAGGTGTTTCTTGCACTGTCAGCCTCCAGGGGCCAGCTTCGGACCTCGGGGGGCCTTCCAGGAGTGACTACCCGGAGCGAGGAGCCCGTCCCAGAAATGGGGTCGAGAGGTCTGGGGCCGCGAGGCTCGGAAATATGCAGCTGCCTGCGGCAAGTCCCACCACGTTGCCAGCCCAGCATTCTGCGTGGAGGCTGTACGAGGTGGTACGGGAGGCCGTCACGTCTGACATCTCGTGTCTCCAGGGTTGGGAAGAGTTGTGTTGAGAGTGTTGATGCTGATGTTGATGGTGAGATTGTTGCTGTTGTTGGGGATGATGATGCTGCTGCTGATGATGATCCTGCTGATGATGGTGATGCTGATTGTGATGATGATGGTGATGTGGTGGTGATTGTAATGGTGATGGTAATGCTGCTGCTGCTGCTGCTGATGATGATGATGATGCCGATGATGCCACTGATGATAATGATGATGCTGATGATGATGATGCCGATGATGATGATGATGATGATGGCGATGATGAGTGATGATGATGCTGATGATGATGATGAGTGTGATGATGATGATGATGATGATGGTGGTGGAGATGGGACTCACTCATATCATGACAACGTTGCAGAGGATGTTCATGAGGTTGGCGCTAATGTTGAGGGTCAGGATGAGGATGGGGATGATGAGAACCAGGATGAGGATGAGGATGCGGAACAGGGCGGTTATGATGATGGCAATGACGATGATGATGACGATGATGATGTTGATGTTGATGCTGATGCTGATGTTGATGCTGATGATCCTGGTTGTTGTGGTGATGATGATGGTGCTGATGATGATTATGACGACCATGGCGGTGACGATGGTGATGGTGGTGGTAATGATGACGATGGTGTTTGTCATGATGATGATAATAATGACGATGATGATGATGATGATGGTGACGTTGCTGCTGCTGTTGATGATGATGATGTTGCGGAGGAGGAGGATAAGGAGGGTGAGGATGGTGGTAGTGATAGTGATGGTGATGAAGATGACGATTATGATGGTGCTGATGATGTTGATGATGGTGATGTCGATGATGATAATGTTGATGATGATGATGATGCTGATTGTGATGATAATGATGATGGTAATGATGATGATGATGCTGATGATGCTGATCATGATGATGGTGATGACGATAATGATGATGTTGATCTTGACGTTGATGCTGATGCTGATGCTGATGCTGATGCTGATGATCCTGATTGTGGTGGTGATGATGATGGTGATGATGATGATTATCACGACCATGGCGGTGACGATGGTGATGGTGGTGGTGATGGTGATGGCGATGGTGTTTGTCATGATGATGATGATGAGAATGACGATGATGTTGATGATGGTGACGTTGCTGTTGCTGTTGATGATAATGGTGTTGCGGAGGAGGAGGATAAGGTGGGTGAGGATGGTGGTAGTGATAGTGATGGTGATGAAGATGACGATTATGATGGTGCTGATGATGTTGATGATGATGATGATGTCGATGATGATTATGTGGTTGATGATGATGATGATGTTGATAAAGATGATAATGATGATGATTATGATGATGATGATGGTGATGGTGATGGTGATGGTGATGATGATGATGATGATGATGATGATGATGATGATGATGGTGATGGTGGTAGTGGTAGTGGTGGTGCTGGTGAATGAGATGCTGTTGATGATGGTGATGGTGATGATGGTGATTATGATGATGATAATGAGGAGGAGGAAGAAGAGGAGGAGGAAGGTCGTCACACGTGACATCTTTCGTCTTTACCTTTTGAGGTGTTGTGTTATGATGGAACTCGTATGGGCCGTCTTCGGGTTGACTTGGCCTCCTGTGAGGCAGTCATTCTTGGGTGTCCCTTTTGAGCCCTATTTGGCCGTCTTGGTGGCCCTCTTACGCCGTCGTGGGTCTCTTGGGCCGTCTTGGGGCACTCTTGGCCGTATGCTGGGTGCGGTGCTTGGGAGCCGTCGTGGGACCATCTTGGGCCGTCGAAATGCCTTCCAAGGCCGTCTTGAGTCCCACGGGAGGCTCTCTTGGGCCGTCTTGGGGTCGTTGTGGACGCCTCTCTGGCCATCGTGGGACCTCCTGGGCCATCGTGGGACCCTCCTGAGGGCCTTGTGGGTCGTCTTGTCCTCCAAAACCTAATGGAATGGGGTCTCTCTTCACGAGCCGTGCTCCTTCATGTCCATTTTGCCTCTACCTCACCCAGCCCTATTCCATACTTCTCGTGTGTAGCTTCCTCCGCCCTCTCCTCTCTCCCGCTTCCTCCTCTTTCCTCGTGCCCTCTACATCGTACATTCGCCCTCCTGCACCGTCCATCCTCCTCCCCGCCTCGGTGATCCCCCCTGATCCCTCCTTTCTCCACCCTGCCCCTCCCCGTCCCTCTCGTTTTCACTTTGCATCCCCCTGTCCTCCCTCTAACCTCCTCATCCTCCTCCTTCTCTTCCTCTTCTTCCTTCCCTCCTCCTTCTCCATTACCTCTCTTTTACGCCCGCCTCCTCTCTCCACCGTCCCCTCTTCCTCACTCCCGCCTCCGTATTTAGCTTCCGCCCTTTCCCCGCCATCTTCCGCCTCTCTCGTCCAGCCACCTCCCTCCTCTATCTTGCCTCCTGGTACCACCATCTTGCACTCATGCACCGGAAGCCCGAGCCCCCAGGCCGCAGCACATAGGTGGGCACCCAAGGTCCCCTAAGCGCCTCCCCACCCGGAGCCTCACCAGAGCCTTCCCCGAGCTCCTCCTGGAGACTCCCAGAGCTGTGCAGAGGTTCCACGGGGGCCCCACGACTGTCCCAGGAGGCCGCCAGGATGCCCCAGGGAAGTCTCCAGCAGTTCAACGAGGCCCCAAGAAGCCGCCAGGGGTAAGTCGGGCATATCCCTCTACAGAAGGAAGATTCCAAAATAGACCAAAAATAGTCTGGGCACGATTTGTTAACTGTTTTTGACTAGTTTATACATATAACGGCGCACCGGGTCCGGGGGCCCGGGGCCGGGACCTCGACCACAAATGTGCGCCCCGGGGGGCCCGGAGGCTCGTCGGGGCTTGCTGGAACCCTCCCCAGTCAGACAAGACGGCCCAAGAAGCGCCCAAGACGGCCCAAGAAACTTCCAAGAGGCCTCCAAGAGGCACCGACGCCAGACGTGCATTCGACCCGCGGTCGGATGAACCCTGCCCCCGGCGTCTTATCCCACCCCATGGGATAATGTGTGCGCAACCCATCACTTCTACCTTCAGCTCCGACTCCCCAGCTCCGACTCTCTAGCTCCGACGCCCAGCTCCGACGCCCGCACCACCACCGGCGACTACGCCAGCGCAGACGCCAGCACCGACACCAGCACCCACGCTTGTGCCTATGCCTTCACCGACGCCAACGTCTACACCAGCACAGACGCCAACACCGACGCCAGCACCAATGCCAACGCCTAACCCGACGTCGATGCCAGCGCCTAGACCTGCACTTGACCCGCGATCGAATAAACCCTGCTCCCAGCGTCTTATCCCACCACATGGGATAACGTGTGCGCCACCCACCACTTCTATCCCCAGTTCCGACTCCCCAGCTACGACGCCAGCGCCACCACCGGCGCCTACGCCAGCGCAGACGCCAGCGGCGCCCCTTCCACTACCACCACCCGTGCCGAGCAGTCGCACCTCCATTCCAGCTCCGACTCCTGCTCCGACGCTGGCCCCGACTCCAGCTCCTACCCCACCGACTCCGACCTCCCAACGGATGAATTCAATGCACGACCCTGGCGCAGGGAGTTGCGCTGCTGGGCCCATGGCGCACCGGTACCACTACCCGTGCCCGTCACCTTGCAGCCTCCACCCTGCATGGGGAGGGCTACTAACAATCTTCATCGTGGTTCCGATTGTCTTCATCAGCCGTAGCACCAGCAAGATGGGCAGGGAGATCTTGATACCGGTGCCGGGGTACGACAGTATGATGGCGATGGCGTGAGCCGCTCTCTTGCAGGCCCCCTCCTTTGCGTTCCTCTTCCTCCGTCCCCTCCTCGTTGCCTGGGTGCCCGGGCTCTCCCAGTTCTTAGTTAGTGGATCTGGCCTGGTTCTCCTGCGGGGCAGGTGATCCTTGCTTCCTAATACCCCTTTGTGTTTCACTTGTCCTCCTCCTCCGGTTCTGTCCCCTTCTTCCTGCTCTCCCTCCTTCCTGGGGCCTGGACCCTCTTACAGGAATCCTTCCAGATAGGTGGGTCGCCGATTCGACCGAATCGGTTCTTTCGCATGCCGTGGCCACTGATTTCATGACCACAGCTTTTCACCACTGCAGGGCTGGAGGTCACAGGAGCTGCCGCCGTCTTCGAGCAGCCATAGCC